GAATTTTATAGGATAGTTATTTAACACCAACGCTTCTTCTATCTGTTTTATTTCGTCATTCAGGTCCTTTTTTGTGCTACTTAGTGCTATGGCTCGGTTTGTCAGACACTTCACTAAGCCTGCCTTAACTGTTAACGGATGAGACGAATTAAAGTCTAAATATCTATCAGCAGAATGCGTTGGTTTTTTATAAACACTAGTGTGTAGTTTGCCTTCTTCTATTCGTTTTATTTTACAGTCTAACATAGCTAATTCTCCTTGTTCATTTTCAAATGTGAATTTTCTTCCCTCTACTAGTGAGTTTATACGTGTCAAGAAGCTAGAGATATATTCTGTTTTTAACACTGTGAAAGTGTCATACACATGTCTCCGCCATATTTTTGGAATAGGATTAAACGTATTAAGAGCACTATTTTCCCAGCTGTCCCTAAATATGTCTGCTACGATAGGAGATATTGGTGATCCCATTGCTACACCTTCTGTTTGTCTACATATTTTGCCTTGGAATTTAAAGATAGTATATGTGAGGCATAACTGAATCCCTAAAATAATTTCTTCAATGGACAGCTTTGTCCTATGATTGAGTTCAGGATCCGCAGTTAGTTCTTTTTTAACTGCTTCTAAGGCCATGTTGTCTGGTTTATTAGTATAAAGACTAGTTATATCAAAACTAACCATTGTTTCATCATTCTCTAGTTGAATGTCATTTAGTTTATTTTTCATCTCATATGAATTAGTTATAGAGTTTGAACGATTTCTAATGGGGCATAATGTTAGAGCTAAGTGTTTTGATAATTCATAAGTAGGAGTATTCCTAAAATCTACTATTGGCCTTATGGGATATCCTGCCTTATGTATTTTAATAGTACCATACATTCTACCAGCATTATTAGTTTTAGGCATTAAATTAAACCATTTAGACTCACCCAGTGACGGCTTCATTCTGCGTATTAGTATATAACTTGATAACTGGTGGCGTATAACTTGATATGATTATGAGTGGCAATAGTTTGTGCTCGAAACGTTATCAGTAAATATTACTGTACAACACCGTGTGATTTATCAAAATAAAATCTTATCCATAATGGAGTTATGCTCTACCACAGTGCCCAAGTTTTATACTTATATTATATTAGAGGTTGACATCGTGCGTCAGCTACATCACTCAAGTAGAACTTGTGAATGGGAAACGATGAGCTGAGCATGGGTCCGAGGGGGACATGGAGGAGATTTTGTGCAAAATAAGCGCCTGCAGGCAGTGGTTAGGTAATTCGCCTACGACTATTAGTGCCTTTTTATGCTGTGAAAAGTTTCAGGTGCTAGTTTCAATGACTCTCTGACTGTCAATACATGTATGCAGACAACTATGAGGAATCATTCCACCCATTAACAAAATTGCAATTTTTCTAAAACAAAGTAAACAACTTTCCCAAACATAAGTGAAACAACTTCTTTGTTTCTTCCCTCATTCCTTATTTTTGCGAGTGGAACACCGAGCTTCAAGCTTCAGCTCCGAAGCGTCAGTAGATGAGGTGTACTTTTCACGGGATGGGATGACTACCCTCACGCTCAGTCTTCCCTCTTTACCGGACTTAATACTGGCAAAGCGAGGGATTAGCGGTGCGTCGGCCGGAATCGAACCTGGATCATGTGCGTAGATGGTAAAACAAGATGTTATTTCCTATAGAAATATACTGGAAACCTCTATTGGTAGAGTTGATGTATTTTTGATTGGACACTTGTTAGTAACTGATGCAATATGTCTAGTCCTTTGTTTGATGCAGACTGATTTCTATCAGTCACGTTTGCAAAGTGGCCACCATTCTAGGTGGTGGCTCACCATCACGGTGCACTTTTGAATTGTTGATGCTAGATGATTGGAGACAATCGGTAGGAAGCCTTGGACATAGGTTTTCAGCTAGTTGGCATTCACCAGTCAGCAAAGTGTATCTGCAACCTTGAAGGAATTCATGTCTCTTCTGAGATTCCACGAATTCACGTCACCCATTGGGTGCTGCAGACAGAGACTTTACTAATGAGCTATTCGCGCTCACGATTGACCTCCTGTATAATTTTAATGGATGCCTTGATTTGGCGTCGGTGGCACAGCGGTTAGAACGCTCGCCGACCATGCACATGGTCCGGGGTTCGATCCCCGGCCGACGCACTCCCTTACCTCGCTATGCCAGAACTAAAGCTGATAAAGAGGGAAGGTTGGGCATGAGGCTAGCAACCCCATCCTGTAAAATAAACACTGTTACAGAAACTTCAAGCCACGCTTGAAGCCCTATGTTCCACTGGGGAACGTGGAGGAAAGAAAATGCTTTGATTTGGCACTTGTTCCTGCCTAGCTGACAATCAATATATATATATCCATTTAGTAATTGTGTAAACCTTAATATCAACGAATTTCCAATAATCTTTTATAACACTAACTTCTGTTTGACTTATTATAATAATTTCAGTATACATTGCTTCGCAAAATTAGTATTCATGAAAAGAATGTTTTATAATTATAGGTATAATGGCGTTCAAAAGATCTTCCGTTTGAAAATTTAACCACAGACAACTGATGATGTCAAATCTACTCTTAAGCTTTAAACAATTATCAAGATGTTATGAACACAATATGGCAATTAACTTCGTAAATCTGGATTTCAACATGAAATCTTAATAAAAAAAAGCTTTAAAAAAAAACTGAAAATATAGGTGAAGTAGAGTTCTTTGTCGTCAGTCGATATCTATTAGGGAATCATCAGTGAGGTTCATCCAGTCAAGTGTGAGGATGGATTTTCCACTGATGATATTGGCTAGTGGTCGTGCTAAGCTCATCACGATTTGGTGGAATTTAGAATTCATGGGTTGGCAGCCATTGAATCGAGTCCCAGTGGCTGAATTGTATATGAGCCAGCTTGCTTTGTAAAACTGGATAGTCCTGGGTTCTAACCATGGTGGTGAGTGCGTACTGCAAATGATTCTCGAACTAGCATGTTTTTCAATGGTTCTCTAACTGATATCAATCCGTGATCAACTCGTAAAAACAAATCTAATCCTTACACAAACCAACTGTAGAAAATCACTGAAAGCCAGAGGGTGCTGGATAGCTGTTTCATCCTAGTTTTGTAACTGTTCAGTTGTGAACACTTACGAAATGGCTTCCTTATACCCCATGGTTTTCAATAATTCTCTAACTGATGTATTTTCATGACGACATGTCTACTGAAATCAGTCAGATCCCTTCAGTCCAAAATTTAAATTAGAGTTTTGATGTTATTCTACTCGACGCATTTCTGAAAACAGATAATAACTGTGTCATTTTCATAAGGATATTCTGTTCACATATTTTATTTTCTCGATGTTATTCGTACTATAACCTCCTCTAGTTTATTAGTTCTCTAGTTTTCTACCCGGTTCTAAGCCTCGGGAAAGATGGAAGGTTGAGCGTGGGGCTAGTGACCCTACTCCGAAGAAGTATAAATCCATTCACTAAAAAACTTCAAAGCACAACAGAAATATAAAAAAACAAAGTCATTCTTTGCTGGAATCAAAGAGATGGAATAACGTGAGTTGCTGAATGCCTTTGGGAAGCCAGTCGGCCGATGTATCCTCTTTTGATGAGAGCAACCATAACAGTCGAAAGGTGATTAGTTCTTGCAGTGTATTCGGGTTGCCAGTGTGCGTCGGTGGCATAGCAGTTAGGATGCTCGCCGACCATGCACATGATCCGGGGTTCGATCCCCGGCCGACGCAATCCTTTACCTAGCTAAGCCAGAAATAAAGCTGGTGAAGAGGAAAGGTTGGGCATGAGGCTAGCAACCTCAAACTGTAAAATAAACACTGTTACAGAAGCTTCAAGCCACTAGCTTGAAGCCCTATGTTCCACTGGGGAACGTGAAGGAAAAGCAAATTCGGGTTGCCAAAGAAATGAGAAGATATGACAAAAGTGAAGTGCCAGCAATCTGTGTAGGCAGGGGTGATGGATCTGGACTCTCCAATTTATTACCTGGGGAGTGGGTCAGTCATCTGCTCCAGTCACCCAGAAGATAGTCACCAACTGTTTGAGGGAGTAGCCATCATGATTTCACCAACAACCGCCTAGGTTCTCATGCAGTGGGAACCAATCTCCCCTTCTCCAGGATTATGACAGCAAGATTCAACTCTAAAGGAAGGAATGCAAAATTACAATTACCCAATGCTACGCGCCTACAAACAATTCATTACCAAAAGAAGAAGGAAGGTTTCTAAAGACAACAATAGCAAACAATACTGACACTTAAACCCTAATGGACGATATGAATGCAAGGTACACTGGGAGCAAACAATACAGGAATGTCTTATGAAGAGGAGGAGCAGGAGGCGGAGATGAAACCTTAGTAGCTGTCACGGGGCAAAGTCTCCTAAGTGCTTTCTACACTTCTAGAAAATATACAATATTCATTCATCACAGGAGATAATTGAATACATATATATATTGTCAATAATAATAACTCTGACATTACAATTTTTCAACACTAATACATAATCAATTTTTAAACTTCGTCAGCTTCATACAGCTAAAGAAGGAAATAGAAAAAGAAATGAACTCTGAACCTACTATTTACACAGATTTTGGAAAAAGAATCCTTTCTCATTATAAGATCATCTACAATCAGTAATACATTTATTCCCCCTTTGTTTTCAGATATGATAAAGCATTTGTCGTTCATTCCGTATTAGGACTTTAAACTGAGATGAGAATTCCTGGGAAAAAACACAACAACGTCATTTGTTTGCAATACACTTGTATACATGTGTGCGTAGGGACAAGTGTTGTTGCATAATATTTAGAAAATAAGGGCTATTTATTGTTGAGCAAATCTGTCTGATGTGTTGTGTGTTTGTTTGTGTTCGTGTTGTTTCAATCAACATTCCATAAATTAGTATTCACAAGTTTAGTGTGTTATTGTATATTTCCACAGGAAAATCCCTTGTTTATCTATCTATTTGTTTGTTTCTTCTTCTCATGTATTGTTTTGATATGTGTTGTTTTCTGTAGCGCATTCATTCAGCCTGACAGACGAATTTCTCTCATTACAGTTTGTCTGGTCTGCATAATAGACTGTACCATTCGAATGGGATGCTGTGCTTGGATAATTCTTAGACTGGGAACAATCTACCGGTTCATCCGTGTACTGTGATATAGTATGATGTCTAATCCGACGTCGCTTCACCTGGCATAATTTAGCATGCAATTTAAACGGTGTACACAGAATATCGACAAAAGCTTTTCGTATATCTCTTAGCGAATAAGCATATATAAATGGATTGACACATGAATTAATATATCCAAGCCATGTGACTAACGGGAAAATGATGTTTTCATTCGATTTTAAAACTGACGGGTAAATAGCTTTGATTGTATTATAAACAAAAAATGGTAACCAACAGAGGACAAATACACCCATTACAATACCGAGTGTTTTAGCCGCTTTACGTTCTTTAGTGAATCGTTGTACACGTTTTTTAATTTCAGTTAAACAACTTCTCGATGTTGCTCCAACCTCTTCGGTATTATTATTATTGTTATTATTATTTTGCCCTGAAGTTGTTGAAATAGCCTCATCACTTTGTGTAATCGGTTGAGTAATATTAGAACGATTAAATATTATCTTATAACAACCACAGAATAATGTACACTGTGTACTAGGTTCAATAGATACATTTTTCGATTTTGGCGGATTAAATTTAACACGTTTCACGATTTTCTTCTCTTCAGTTAAATTCGATTCGTCTAATAGATCTTCACTTACCATGTTCTCTTCAGGATTTGGCAGAGAAAGATGTTTAACCGAGGCAATATCTGAGTGTTTTGAACAAAGGGATGAATCTGTATTGGTGAAACTTTTTGTCAGTATACTTCGATGTAATCCTGGTGGTAGGGACTTTTTTGTCCCACCACGGTGTACTCTTAATATCATCACTTCACCGCCAAGTGATTTTCGATAGATTAATCGTTTACCTGTAGTCAGTGTTTTAATAAGCCCGTTGGCTTTTTGATATATTTTCCAGTAGACAACAATCATAACTATTAGAGGTATATGAAATGATATACACGAGGAAAGGAATAGATAAACTCGATCAGAAGAGAATAAACACTCTCCATTGGCTATACTATTTATATCAGTAACATTATACATATTATTTGAATATCTCCACCATGCAATAGCTGGAAACGAGATTAATATTGAACATATCCAAGTAAGCATTATCATTAGGATACACCGTGAATGTGTCATTCGTAAAGGATAATTAAATGGATCCGATATAGCAATGTAACGCTCTACGGAAATAACGCACAGGTTTAAAATTGATGCAGTAGAACTGAGAACATCAAGTGCATGCCATATATCGCACCAATCTTGTCCATAAGGCCATAAAATATAATCATCTTGTTTCTCTGTAGGCAGATGATCTTTGTGGATGCATCTAAGTAGGTCGATGACAGCGAATGGCATAACTACAGCGCCTAAAATTAAATCTGCAGCTGCCAGTGAGGCTATCAGACAATTGGTGACATTTCTTCTGAGTTTATGTCTTGTAGAAATGGCAAACAGAACGAGTAAGTTACCGCCGATAGTAATAATAATTATTAGACTAAATCCCAATGTGGTTATTGTTTCCACTGCATCAGAATCTAATGAATGTGAGAAATTACTCCTGATATTTCCGTTAAGATTCTTTGATAATTCCACATTCAAAGAGTCTTCGGTAGTCATTGTTTATCGATAGATAGCCTCAGTTATTATTTGATCATAATTAATAATAATCAGATTAACGTAAAGGTGAAGAACATCAGTTAATCGGAGAAATGACATTTTCTTCTTTTATTGCATCAACATTTTTGACAACTAACTAAAACTATCTTTAGCATTGTAATCCGATTTAAGTTAGATTGTAGCTGACCAATCACGGATAGGCAGTGCGGACCAATCAGATAACTGACCTCGAATTTTCAGTGCAATGGCTTTAAAGTAAGAACATGATAATAATAATAATTTGGAGTGGTGATGATATGACTGTCACAGTTTTTAAGGTAGTATTTTTACAGGAAATAATCATGATTTGTAGAATTGTCCATTTAAGGAAGCTATCAGCCAGTTTCGGCTTAGTGGGTGAAAACAATCCACCGAAGTGACTGAAGTATTAAGAATAGTTTTTGCGTAAATACTGTAACGGCAAAATGTATTCGGTTATGCTGTGAACTCATGAAACTGATTTCTACGTTCTACTGTATTGCTAATGAAACTTCGTTGAGACAAGCGCTATCATGAAAGGCTCCCAAACCAAGGGAAAGACGAGTATTATTCTTCAATATATTTCAGCGGTTCTATTAATCATTAATAACATCAAACTGAAATTTACCTCAACAGTGTAGTCAGGCAGTCAGCTATACGGGCAGTGTAGGTTTCTAAATTTAAAAAAGTACTGTAAGACCTAAGTTCAACTGTAAAAGGTACCTTAGAATCGAGGAGAATATTTCCAACGAGGTGGAATCAACAACTCTGCTCATAAGAATCATACACCAGTGGTTTCTACAAACAGTCCCCTCCGGAGCCAGCGATTTGTGTGCGTCGGTGGCACAGTGGTTAGGACTCTCATCAACCATGCACATGGTCCGAGGTTTGATCCCCTGCCGACGCACACCTGATATCTAAGGTTGGCCTGTAAATTTGGAGTACCGATATCCATGCTGAAAATTCCATACTTGTACTGAAAATACGGTGTGACATCAAGCTGTAATCAAAAAAAAAATAAAAATAAAAATAAAATAAATAAAAATAGAATGACTTTCATTCACTGAGAAAAACACATATAACTTAAAAGACACATTATCAGCTTACACACAACTATAAAGAGAATTATTACAATTAAAGATTAAACAAAGAAAAAGGACAACAATAAACGTCAAAATCAACATGTGGTATGCAAATGTCAAATTAATGTCACACCGGCTAGGAGAAAAATGTATGATAGCTACAAAGCTATTTGAAATGTTCAAGTATTAGTTATTGTAGGGATTCTGTTTGATTGGTTGAAGGATTTCATCATGAGCTGACATCAGTTAGAGAACCGTTGGAAAACCTGCTCGGAATACTGGACAACTGTTTCTTCCTGGTTTGGAGCTCTTCATCAGTGCGCACCCACTGTCAGGATTCCGACCTACCCTTATGCTTACAAGGCCTGAGAACTCATCAAGTAATAAACCACTGGGACCCGATCCAATGGACTGTAGATTCTAACTTCTACCAATTCATGACATAGCGTGACCACTTCGCAATGTCTTCGTCGATGAATTACTGCCTTCAACCTTCAACCTGCTGTCCCCTACTGGTCACGGCTTCCCACTAGAACCACAGGTAACTGCCTGGATAGGGACAGTCTAAGTATATATCATAAATGGATCATTCAGTAGGGATTTTCCAAACAATTTATCCCTTACAAATACCTTCTTGCAGACTAAAGATAAGTTAGAATGCCAATAACTCAGAGTATATTTTCCCATCCCTTCTGAAATAAGGACGTTTCTCACTTATTTTAACCCTCTAACTTTCATTTTTTTTACTGTCTTCACTCTGTGTTAGGGTTTTGCATGAAAAATCACTGCTTTTCTGGAAATTATTGAAACTGAGTCTCATTTTTCTAAATTTCACATCCCTTGAATGTTTGATACAAACAACTTTATGGGGAACACATAATGGGTAATAGTCAGTTAACATTGCGGAAACTGTCTACATCAAGTCAAAAAACAAGGTTTGCGACGACGGTACCAGCATTCTTTTCATTATTACCATAATTTCTTTCTTACCGGCTTATGAATTTCTTAGGTGAACAGTTTTCAGACAGAAATGTTTCACGCTAAGGCAAACGCTTTATTGAGTCTGTCTTTAGAGCAGTTTTCGATGCTTCAAAACAGTGATCTGACCATTTTGTGTTATTATTTTATTGGAGAGAAGTGAGAGTAATTTGTAAGCCTGGTTCTTGTCTTTCCACATCATGAACTTATCACACTTTACATAAACATTGCCCTCTTCAGATGCAGATTTTATTTCGTTTGTTTCTAAATTTTTTGTGTAACAGTCAGCAAGAATAAGTCCGAGAGAACCCCTGTGTCTTTCTATCTGTCTGCCTGTAGAGCATATTATTCTAAAAAAACTGAACATCTTTTGTGTATAGCATTAGGAGTTTTCTTAAATTTTCAGTTAGTAGGGCGGCGGCGGTGGGGAGCGGGTAATTCAGATTGCATGGAAATAATCTTAATTACCTCTTCAAATGGAGTGCTGGTGAATAAGGGAGATTTTTCAAATTATATCAACAGTTTTTCAGAAATATATTCAAACCAATCGGTTTCTCAGCACAGTGTAGAGGAAGATTAGGACACCTATCACGTTGAGTGTAAGGACAGGTACTTGCTGGTAACACTGAGTAGCTGTCACGTTGTGTGCTATAAACTGACAGAAGTGAGAATTCATGATCCATTGGATTCCAAAGGGCCCAAAGGTCAACCAGAAGGTGCTCCGTACAATTCTCGTTGGTGTCACAAACTTGAACGATATAGCTGTCCAGTACTCCCTGATTTCCAGTATTCTATGTGAAATCAATCTGCGATCAAATCTGATCAAATCAATCGAAACCGCATAACCTTACAATTTAATAATGAAGTGAGCGATACAATTTCGCTCTAATTTTATCAATTAAACCGAATTAAAACGTTTCATGGAGTAAGTTTTCAACTTTACTTTCGGTATCCTAATGACATAAATGTGTGCATATGCTGTTTAACACGCCGTTATGCTCCACCCCATATGTTCTGGTCTTCTATTTATTAGATTTGAACTTCACCAATTACTTTATCGTTTTAAATTAGATTTACGCATACAAAGAAAATAGTGTCTCTTTACTTTGATCGAACGCTAGGCAGCAAGTGTCATGCGTGTAGTCTTTTGTTTGGTGCAGACTGAATTCTATTGGCCAAGTTTGCAATGTAGCCATTACCATCAGGCTAGTTGACTCACCATCACAGTGGAGTCTTAATTGTTGTGTTTAGATGAAGAAAATAAAAGACAAATTCAGCGAAGAAAATGCTTCTTTATCGACGAAATCATCTTCAGAGGCTGTACAGTCGTATTTATACTTACCAAAAGTGTATAGTGGTCTATTATTGAGTAATAGGGGGTGACATAATTGATATAATTACTCAGAAGTGGCTTTAGAAGTGAAAATTAAAAGTTGTAAATTACGTGGTACTCAATGGCACAAAGATAGAAATTTGATAAGGTTAAAATTGCTATTGAGTGAGAATAAAGGTATTTGAGTGTCAATTTAACAAGTGTGAAGAGGGTGTGAAAATGTACAAAAGGAACATATGAGAGTGATAATAGTGAATTAATTATTAAAGCAAAAGCAAACTAAAAGTAAAATTTTAAAAAAGAAAAAATCAAAATTTTTTACAGGGAACGACTAGTGAAGAGGTTAAGACCAAGGTAGAATAAGAGACTGGACAAACGTTCGGGGTTGTATTGACGAATTGCCAGAGCCTCCGCCATACACAAAAGCCGAAACCTGACGCCCTTTGTACCATTTGGCTTCACTTTGTAGATGATCTTGAAAGACGACTCTGGTGGAGCTACGTGGCCTGAGTTCACCAAATGCTCGAGAATTGAGCTAGTAATTGTCTTACATTGTCCCTTTGCTAACCATGCCGGATAATGTTCAGAGATGCGTTTGGAAAGTGTGCGCTTTGTGCGGCCAATATAACTAGCTCCACACGAGCAGGTGAATTTATAAACACACATTGAGGTGGCCCAAAGTGGCAGTTTATCCTTCACACATCCGTTGATCATTTGTCGGCTGTAGAAATTGATACGTAGCTCAGCCATAAAGAAGGCTTTCCTCAGTGATCTGCATAAGCGATTCTTCAGGATCTCAGCTGCGGTATCACCTTTAAATTCAACACCCTCATAAATAGCAGTTTCTTTGGCACCGTCTGGGTTCTTTCAGGCTTTTCCTTTTGGAGGATATCCATTCTCTATGAGGACTTGTCTGAGTCGCCCCAGTTCCCCATCGATTGTATCACTGGAACATATCCTCCTTATTCTTGAGGATAAGGAGTGGATCAGATTTTTTTTTCTTCTCAAAGGGACCCAAATATTGAAATTTGTGTACTGACCATTCCATGCTGGTTTCCCATAGATCGATCTTTGAAGAGAACCATCAGATTTCCTTTTTAGAAAAACATCCAAAAATGGAATTCCGAGTTCATTTCTGATTCCGACGTGAACTGGATGGCATGATGGCAGCTGTTGAACTCTTCAGTTATCAATTCGATGTCGGTATTGTCGTCACATATGATGAAAGTATCATCCATGTATCTTTTGTACAAATGGAAACTATCGATAGTAGGCCGTAGAATACTATTCTCCAAACTTGGAAAGGGAAGTAACACATCCATGGATATCATTTTCTTCTCGGATACATTAGCATCGCTTATCAAATATGAAACTAAGACCTGAATAACATGAGAGTATAGTCTTTTACCACGGAAAAATTGTGGCACGAGATACTGACATGATTTTGTAAGCAGTATATTATGCATGTAATGTATTCTGCATGAATACGTGCGTCGGTGGCACAGCGGTTAGGACTCTCACCGACCATGCACATGGTCCGGGGTTCGACCCCCTGCCGACGCACACCTGATATCTATGGTCGGCCTGCA